TAACGCAGTTATTAATGCAGTCTAACGCAGTTATTAGAGAGAGAGAGCGAAAGAGAGAGGGAGAGATTAAGTGCATATGAATTCTTGCTCTGTGCGTCTCTCAGCAGTGTTCAGCAGCAGCGTCTACTAATAGTGAATCTTTAAGTTGAACTGCTTCAAGAACCTGGCTACTGAGAAATGTCATGTAGCTTTTCAGCTGCGAAACTCTTTTTTTGATAAATTCGAGGGGCAGCCGCAGCACGCTGACGTCTCTGCGTGTGTGCGAGTCTATGTGTGTGCGTGTGTGAGAGAGAACGGGAGAAAGAAAGTGTGATTTCCATATATAAAAAAGGTTGAAGACATGGAAATAGTTTGTCATTTTTACCCTATTGTTTGTTATATTTATTTGCTTGATGTCTTCTGGGGTTTTGGTTCTTTTACTGTTGTAGATATCCCATAGTATATCATTTCTATTATATATCTCTTCATTGTGTTTGGGCCCCCCCTGGACGAGCACACGTAGGCACGTGCCTAGAATGCCTATGCGTAAATCTGGTCCTGGGCGTGGTTGACTTGTAACTTTTATAAAGAATATCTCTTTGTATTTGAGCCTTTAGTCTTTGCAACTTTACAGATCTTTTTTATGTACCAAGAGCTTGTAACACTCCAAAGAGAAAGGAAAAATTGAAATCGCATCATATGACCCCTTTAAGCTGCACAACTTTTATCAACATCTATAATAATAATTAATGTTTCTTGAGCAGCAAATCAGCGTATTAGAATGATTACTGAAGGATCATGTGACACTGAAGATTTTGCATCACAGAAATAAATTACATTTTAAAATATATTAAAATAGAGAACGGTTCTTTTAAATGTAGTATTTCATAATAAAATTGTTTTCCTGTATTTCCGATCAAATAAATGAAGCCCTGGTGTGCATGAGAGACTTCTTTTAAAGACTTTACCAAACTCTTACCAAACATAAACTTTTGAATAGTAGTGTAGTTTAATAATTTACATAATTTCTTCACCCTTCCAGTTGAATCATTCATTTTATTAATTTAGTTCTCCCTTTATATTTTTGATTATCGGTTAGTCATAGCACTCTTTTGCCAAATATTTTTCATATGACCAACAAGCCATTATTCCAGGGAACAGATTTCAGCTGTGCTACAATAGTTCTAGATGTCTTCTATCACTCCACAGTCTCTTTCTTCTTGCGTAATGAAATAATTTAAACTCAAATCAATATTTTATGTCCACTTAATTATTTATTTGGTAAATAACCATGTAATAATTGAGTACATTATGTTCCTCATCACCCTATTAGGATTTTTGTTGTAATGACTCTAACTGATGATCCATTATCCCTTATTGTATTTCATAAGTATGTTGATGATTAATTTTTAAAAGATGAGAGATGTTTAAAAGACTTAAACATAAGAGTTTTTCATTAAGACTTGTTTTATTTATATATTACAAATGTTATTTAAAGATTATTTTATTGCAATAATATAATGTAATCAGGGTTTCTGCAGGTCTTAAAAAGACGCCCTTCCACAATTGGAGCTCTTAAATATGAGAAGAAAGTCATGGCATTAAATGTTGCGTTCCCTACAAAAATGAATATTTTTCTCTGTATTTTTGTCTTGTTTTTTTGTTTTTTTTTTAAATATCTAAACATCCTTAAATCAAGATACATTTATTTGAGATACAAAATGAAGGTATGAAGTTGTGTTTTCTGAGTAAACCTTCTTGACCTTCTTGTCATTTTGCTTCTCAAGTAAATGTATCTTACAAAATGTACAGTAAAACGAAATATATATAGCCATCTCTGTTTGAAAACCTGCAATTGCAGCTGTTAGCGGAATTATCTAGCTTGCGTGGGTTGTACTCTGGCATGGCTCCAGCACAGATGAAGCTAATGTTTTGAGGAGTATGTGTGGCAGTCAGTCACCGCACCGGTGTGGATATTCACTGTACTTCGCAATCACAGATTCTAGCCTACGTATTGGAATATATGACCCAAATAAGAATTTTCACCGGATATTGTCATCTGAACAAGTAAGTAACAAGTAACAGCGTATTGATGCTGCACACTGGTGGTTGTTGAGGAGATTCCCCGCTTCTATGTAAAGCGCTTTGAGCGCCAGAAGTGACTTAATGATGCAGGAGCATGCTCGAATTTCCCGCGAAAACCTACCCGTACCACTCAAATTAGAAAACATTATTATAAGCTAACCGTTGTGAATCGGGCTAAAGTAAGGCATTAGTTTTGAACACTGGCTGGTTATGTACTTGCTCAAATGTTGATTTTTGATAATTTTTTACCAAAAAAAGTTACGGACTGCAGCTTTAAATTCTTAATAATTAAATTAAATAATTAATCATTATTACTAATTATTACAATAATTATTTATATACAGGAAAAAGATCATCTTACTTCCAGTCGTGCCTGACCCTAGCAAGAACCTACAGGATTTGTTTCATAAACATGATGGAAATGTTGAGGTATCCACTCCTATGAGGTCATTATGAGTAAATGTTCGATTTGGATACGCTGTGACCCTCTCATTATATTCTCAGAGCTGGCTTCACATCTCCAGAGAGCTGAAGGAAGCTTTTGAGCCTGACTACACAGAGCCGTCCTGTGATGTGTGTGAGGTTACACCCTCTTGTGACGCCGGTCTCACACCTGTGGCCAGTCCTGCTTCTCAAACTGACAACTGTGATGAACCAAGCACTGAAGAAGAGCCTGCAGATGAACCAAGCACTGAAGAAGAGCCTGCAGATGAACCAAGCACTGAAGAAGAGCGTGCAGGACAGCAGAGCTCTTAAGCCAAAGTGGTGTTAACCACTGTCAGCTCATTCTTACTGAACATGTTCACATGCTACATTTTAATGTTTTCCTTTGCACGTTTATTTTACCTCATTCATATCTCATTTTATGCAGAATTTATGTATAAGAAGGATGAAAAATGTAATTGTTGACATTTCTCAATCAATCAGTGTACTCAAAAGTTAGGGGTTGTTATGTTGACCATGGCTGCTTTTATTTGATCAAAATACAGTAGAAATTGGTAAAATTGTCAAATGTAATTACAATAAAAAGTATTTTTATCTGAATATATTATAAAATGTAATTTATTTTTGTGATGGCAAAACTGAATTTTCAGCATCATAACTCCAGTCTTCTGTGTCACATGATCCTTCAGAAATCATTCTAAAATGCTGATTTGATTCTCAAGAAACATTTCTTATTGTTATTAATGTTGAAATCAGTTGTTCTGCTTAATGTTTTTGTGGAAACCGTGATTTTTTTTTTTTCAGGATTCTTTAATAAATAGAAATTTCAACATTTTCTGAAACAGCACTTATAAGAAATCTAAACGTTAGCACCAATATAAGTGCCTTTACTGTAAGTATTGATCAGCTTAATGTTTCCTTGCTGAAACAAAGTATTATTTAAAAATAAATAAATTACTGACCCCAATCATTTGAACAGTAGTGTTGTAAGCCAACATTAAAAATACATGAATGTCTTATTTAAAAAAAATATCAAACCAATGGCATTTATTTTAAAGAAATTGTCATGGGTACAAAAGGAGGATTCAATTGCGAATGTGAAATATAACAGTTTATTAGGAAAAGGTCCCAACCAGACCAAAGGCAAGAGTCAAACAAGGCATGTGCAGGATATACGATAAAGGGTACCCCCGAACCCTCCAACCAATGACGCCATTCTTCCAAAGCTAACTTGACTGCCAGCAACTCTCTGTTACCAATGTCGTAATTACGTTCAGCGGAAGACAAACGATGAGAAAAAAAAAAATGCGCAAGGGTGCATCTTGTCGTCTGAGGAAGAGCGCTGGGAAAGAACCGCACCTACCCCCACCTCTGACGCATCGACCTCCACCACAAACTGACGTGTGGGATCAGGGGCTATGAGAATGGGAGCTGAAACAAAGCGGCTCTTGAGGTTGGCAAATGCAGTCTGAACTGGCGGCGGGGGGCGGCGCAGTGGGCGATCTTAGTTGTTGGAATTGGGTCGTGAGCTCGGACACCTGCGCTACCAAGGCTTGCACAGCTCGACCCGTAGCTAACATCTGTTCCTCTTGACGATCCATGCGTGCGTTGTTGTTAGACAAAAAGTCCCGTAGATCCGAGGCGTTCGCTGAATCCATAGGTAGGTCAGATCGTTCTGTCACGGGTACAAAAGGAGGATTCAATTGCGAATGTGAAATATAACAGTTTATTAGGAAAAGGTCCCAACCAGACCAAAGGCAAGAGTCAAACAAGGCATGTGCAGGATATAGTCACTCTTGGTAGCGCAGGGACGCAAATGGGCACCCGTGGATATCCCGAGAACATACGATCCTTGGGGGCGAATCCTGGAACCGAATTCCAATGAGACGAGGGACAGGAACAGAGAACTGAACACAGCAGGAACACCAAACGATCTGACAACACAGGACGGATAGCACAGGTGTTATATAGCTGAGCTGATGAGCTACAGCTGGCGCAGATCAACAATCAGCAGCAATCACCGACACACCCACATACACACAGAGCGAAAATGAGTCAGTGAACCCATGAACCGTGACAGAAATACAGCACACTGTTAAGTGTTTAACTTTTATAGTTGTGTTAGGTTTTTAATTATAAAACCATATATTTATGGTTTCAAATTAAGACTACAAGTATTTGTACACTTTCTGACTTTGTGAACTTGCAGGAAACTAACTTTATAAATCCACTAAGAATAGTTGCTTAAAAATAATGACAGAGTTTGATACAAATACATTAAAAAATCCACTTCAAAATGCTTGACAGCTTTCATTTGTATAGTACATAATGATTAATAAAACTGCTATTTCATTTTAGTAACATTGAATGAATATGTAATAAAACTTTTGATTGTGCATATTATACTATTGTTGTACTTTCTTGCCCTAGTTTGAATGTGTTTTTCCTCATCTGATTCCATGTCATTGTGACATCACAGTCTTGATGATTATGTTACTCTTTGTCTGCTGTGTCACTAATTTCTTACCCGGCTACAGCAGACAGCATCTTAAAAACCGAACAGCAGCCAGTGAGTGTTAAGTTCTTCTCTGCCGCAATGTTTATTTACATTAAACATGGAGGTAAGGATCTCAATCATGTCTTTAATTTGAAAATGAATTAAATTGCTTAAACATCAATGCTATAGGCTATACGCATTCTATGTTTAGATTTATATACGACTTAGTAACTGACAAACTATGCTATCTGTGTACTTAAATTTCTCTATTTTATCTGTTAATGTAAATTACAAGAAGCTGATATCAATGTGATGTTTGTGTATTTAGATAATAACCAGTTCCTAGTTAACACCAACTGTCCAACTGTTGTCCTCATGGAATACATAAAAACCAGGTTGGGACTTGCTGAGTCAGGTATGTACAGCTTTCTCAAGGGTATTTTTCATACATCAGGAGGATATGTGGATAATCATAAGCACATAATCAGTCAAATTTAGTTTTTTTTCCAGCTCAAGACTTTTATTTAACAGAATCTTAAATATGACGTGATTGTCAGTAGAACTTTTAAGGATATACTTCCAGTCATTCAGTGTTGTTCATGTGCTTCTGTCATTCAAATTCTGAGTGGATATTCAACGTCAAAGAAATGACTTTTATCACTGTAAGGTCTGGTTTACACAGAACACATTTTTCAGTTCCACACATGAAAAAATACTATAGTAATTTATAGAAAATACTATAGTGTTTTTGAACCATACTATAGTACAGTATATTATTCTGTATATATTATAGTATTTACAACACTTTGGTAATTAATGCTACAGCATACTGTAGTATTAACTATAATGAACTGATAAACTGTAATAAATACTTTAGTATACTTTAGTTTTTACTACAGTAAACTGTAGTTTATTGTAGTATAATATACCCTATAGTTGTAGAAAACGAATACAGTATTGGGAAAAGTAATTTGTTTATAACAGTTGTTATATTACCACAGCAACAATAGAATTACCACAACAAATTAATTCAAGTTCTTTACTATAGTATGATTCAAAAACACTATAGTATTTATATTTACTAAAAATTACTATTTCATGTGGGTTACAGCGTTTTTCTGTGTAAACACTCTCTAAAACGGACGTGTTTGACCGATGATCTCGCGTCTTTCACAGCGTCTCGCTTATTACTGATTTCAAGACTTGGAGTTGTTTTTTTCCCCCACAATTCCAATCAAAAACGAGTTCTATGTGAATGGCCCCTAAGGATATCTTAGAGTAGCTCAGGCGGGTTGTTGCATGCTCTAGAGATCTCAGGTCAGAGGAGGTTAGTTGAGCCCAGCGTGCCCCTCAAACCCTGCGCCGAGGTCAGGGATCTCAAGCGTTAATATTTCACACTCTCTCTTAGCACATACTCCTACAACGGTGTCTGATTACATCTGTGGCATGTAGTAAGGAACGTTACCTGGGATCAGCCCATCACTAATGGAGAACTCATTACCACTGTCATTAACACTGTCCTCCACCTTAATGCGTCTGTGCGTGCAAAAATGTCGCAAAGAGACAGTAAACACGTATTATATGACAGTTTTGACACATGTTTGAAACAATAGGCTATCCCTTAAGGTTACTCATCCAAATGTGTGTGTGTTTCAGAGCTTATAGACGTGTGTGATGAACGAGGAGTGCTGAAATTTCGGAGAACTCATTACCACTGTCATTAACACTGTTCTCCTCCTTAATGCGTCTGTGCGTGCAAAAAAGTCGCAAAGAGACAGTAAACACGTATTATATGACAGTTTTGACACATGTTTGAAACAATAGGCTATCCCTTAAGGTTACTCATCCAAATGTGTGTGTGTGTTTCAGAGCTTATAGACGTGTGTGATGAACGAGGAGTGCTGAAATTTATCTTCCTGCCCCAGAATTCACAGGAATCTGCTCGTGGACTGCTAAAGGCTAAAGAGACATTCATTGTTTGCATTATTAAGCGTGAGTTTGAGTTCGTTCCTCGATATTTATTAATAAGCTGAAGCTTATTGTTTCTATATAGTTTGACACTGCAAAGGTAAATGCAAAGGAAATGGTCAAGGGTTTTTCTTGTGTGTGTTTACAGGTTCATCTGATGGGGCTTATAACTCTGTCACATCACTGTTATCCGGGGTTGACCCTGCTGTAATAGGTGCCATTGCATGTACACTGCAATAAATTATTTTCTTAATTATTTGAAGAGTTTATTTGCAAAAACAGATAACTCCGCTTTTTAAAATTTTCAAAAATCATGTTTATTATTATGTTGTCATGTTTTTATTGAGTTTTACTGTGTTTGTTAGCTGTATTTTTTTTGTATTTTTTTTTTTTACTTAAAATAATCCAGCTGCAGTTTGATTGAGATTAATTGGAATGCACAATGAAAAACATGATTTTTGAAAATTGTTAAAAATGGAGTTAGCTGTTTTTGCAAATGAACTCTTCACTTTCTTCTTCTTTATAATATCTGAACATAATTCACTTATGAAGAACAATTCTGAAAGGTAATTAATACATTGTTTTCAAGTAATATTTTGTAACAACAATTTTGTTATAGTTATTTTGTTAAAGTTATATATATATATATATATATATATATTATTCTATTTTGAATATGTAGTTAATTAATGTTTAGATATTTTTAATGGAACGTTTCATTGATTTATTTCACTGTATATCAATCTTATTTATAATTTGAGCTAAATTGTTTGTAGCAGTTGCATTGTATTGTATATTGCTTTTACACTGTTTGTTAATGTGTGTTTGTAATGTCTGTCTTCCAGAGACCCTGCAGACTCAGATTGACAATCTTGAGAAAACTCGTCTGAAGCAGCTTCATATTGTGGAGACTCGTATGGCTACATCAGAGGAAATCAATGCTCAGGCTCTGTCCACTAAAACTGTAAGTCCTTTAGAGCCACATCTGAACCTCGCAGTTTTGCCTTATTTGTTCACCTGCTCTCACCTTTTATATTATTCTGCCTAAAATTCAGCTACACTGTAAAAAAAAAAGTAATTTACTGTAACTCTGGCCAGAAAACATATACGAGTGATACCATTATGGGGGGCAATTTGTTGTTTGTGATATGGAAATATAATGTTATGTGAACAATAATCTTGTGTTTTGTTTTCATGTGGCTCTGCAGACTAAAAAGCGCAAGAAAGTTACACATGCAAATGCCCCTGATGAAGAAGTCCAGCGCCACACAGGGGACAGGAAGAGTAGGAACTGAATAAAAGCCCTCACATTCGAGCATTCAGCATTCATACTCATTCTTAATGATGAGTCCCAGTTTAATTCATTCAAATTACAGACATGTTCATCAGAAATGCTGTATTATTTTTTAAAACTATTTATCTTTTTACTTGGTGATTCAAGTTGCTACATTGATTTTATAACACATAAAACTCAAGGACTATATCTTCCAGAAGAAGGATGGAAGACACATAGGAAGGAATTTAATAAAGCAATGTTTCAATGCAAATGTATGTCCTCTATCTATCTATCTATCTATCTGTCTGTCTGTCTGTCTGTCCGTCCGTCCGTCCGTCCGTCCGTCCGTCCGTCCGTCCGTCTGTTATTATTTCTGTGTTTCTAAAAAAATGTGGGAATTTTCCACTGGTCCCTTGAAATTAAGCAACAGATGAGGTCATCGTCTTGCCTGTGATTGGCTAGTATGAATACCTGTTTGTTACCAAGCTTTTCCCAGCTGGGTGCAAATTGAGAGAGAATCTAAGGAGGAATATTTATAGATTGGTGTGTGTGTGTACTGTAGTTACTGAACACACTTTTATGCTTGGATCTATATTTGGTAAGCAATCAACCTGTCTGAATACGGAGTGGGTGTAAACTGTATTTTTGCAATAAGTTTTATGTCAGAGGCATGATGATATCTTGAAATATAATTCAAGATCAGTATCTTGTTTGTCTCTCTCATCCATGCAGCTGCAGACTTTCAGCTAAACGTACGTAGGCCTTGCAGGTGCAGGAACTTTATGATGTGTTACTCAGCACATAGATTTTTCCTTTTCAGCATTTCACCAGAGCACAATGTGGGCGGAATGCAGCCATTAGACAGGAACGAGTGGGTGAAATGCCAGTTAGCAGTTTTACCGTCTATGGCCATTATAATCTTTCGTGACATCCTATGTTGTACAGCACACTCCTATCTGCTTTTTCCCTTTAAAACCTTGGTTGTGAAATTTGAAAATGTCAGATGTCAGTTATTGTGGAAGTTGTATAGAAAGGATAGTCATACTGTATGATGAGATTGAGTGTGATTGACAGGACTGAACTGAAACTGTCTACTGGCCTATATTACAAACCGAAGGTCGCAGCTGTCAGCTTGCCTGTGGTCACTGTATAACGCCTCACTTCCTCCTCTGTGAACTATATCTCTGTAGATATTTTTATATGGCTTCTTTTGTATATTTAATTTCTAATTTCTCATTCTCGTTATTAGATATCAGTCAACATTCTCAGAAGTTATTGTGTGCGTATATGTATACAGTATGTGTTTTTAAAGAGATTTATTTGAGGGTGCTGGTATAAAATAAAAATGTCATAATGAAATTTCCAAGTTGTATTCATTTTCTTATTGTATTTTAAATAAGCTCTATTGAATATCAGAAAAGTTAAATATACAGTAATGTCAGACAAGAAACTATTTTATATTATATTTTTTACAAATGTTAAAAAGAGCAATAAAGTGCTACTATTCAAAATAAAGTTGTATAAATTGCCCCCTTGTGGCTGTACTTTAAAGAAACTGCAGTAGTAGTGAAAATAAAAGCATATCCTTAATTTATTCAAATGTAGCTACATTTTTAGATTTGCATATGTTGATGATATTGTTCTGATTTTTATTTTATTTATTTTTTCTTTCATTAGAAATTTTTTTTTTGTTTGTTTATTGATTGTTGTATAGTTGTGACATATTCCTTATTTTTAATGTTTCATCATTTTAGTTTCAGAGTCTTCTTCATCGATCATATTTCAACCCAAAATAAAAACTTCAACTTTGCATAAAGAAAATTAAGCCTATTTTTTTTAGGATTTTTTGCATTTGATTTTTATGATAATTAACCACATTAACCCCTCCCCCAGCACCTTCTCCAATTCTCAGTAATCTACTGCAAAGCAATATATAAATCTTACTCCTCGCTGTAATAATTAAAAAAGCTATATATTTAATAATATGAACAAATGTACTTTAATTAATTGTACATTTTTTAAATAATACTGGTTTATACGTTGCTTCTTTATGCATCAGTTTGTGCTATTGTGAGTTTCTGTATGTATCCAAAGCCTTTTCAAAAGTCTGTTATTCACTGTTAACACAGGAACACAAGTCCCTTCTGCTTGTGGGACAGAGGGTCTTATTTTTTAAGCTTTCACTGCACTCTGGGTCACCCTCAGTACTTATGATGCAGTAACTGGCACTTTTGAGGGATCCAGAAGAGCGAGGCAGCTGAATCGACTGCTTGTTCTGCCTCAGATTAGAGTAAAAGACGCTTGTATTTGTTTACAGTGCACCCTCTATTTAGGAAAATATACTTTGATTAACAAAACAAAATGTGATTTTTGCTTTAACACACAGAGCAAAGAAATAAAGTATTTGATATTACACAAATGTTTTTAATGCACTTTCAGATGTGGTCCTACATTTTTTAAAGAAATTTCGTAAATTATGTTTTAGCTTTAAAAAGACAATGTATTGATATTCATACTTTCTTGTATGTTGTACCAGATATGCATCCAGTTTGTTGTTAAAATAGACATTTACAAAACATTTTCTTTACTGCATGACTACTTTCATGCAGTTACAGTAGATGTTGATGTTGGCAGATATAATTTGATGAATATGGTAATTCTAATCAGATTGTCTTTGCCCTTGAAACTAGAGGAATAATTGGCCCCTAATTACCATATAGATGCATTCGTGGCATGTCACAAACACTCTCAAATACAAAAGCAGAAACCTGACATCATATGCTGTCCCGTTTGTTACATTTTGCACAGATAATCAAACAGTGATGAGAATCGAATACAATATTTGTTGTTCCACCCTCCTAAAATCATTCTTTTGCCAGATTGTCTGATGCTCTTTTTACAAACATTAATAAAAACAATAATGAGATGACATTTTTAGTGTCCAGGATGCACTTTCACTGTAGGATCTAATCTGCAGGTGTCACATGTATCTACATCCAACGCAAATGCAGTTTAGCAGCACAGAATTGACTGTATTCCAAATACTAAGAACTTTTCCAAAACAAGAGCCCCATTCATTTGTAGTTTGAGAGATGACGGAATGAGTCCAGATAATGAAGGCCCGAAGGCTTTTGTTAAATTCACTCTGACTTGAGGGGAACAGAACTGGAAGACATCACACATTGAATAAGCACTTTTGTCATACTAGTTAAGGAGTGACATCATATTCTGTCCCGTTTGTTACATTTTGCACAGATAATCAAACAGTGATGAGAATCGAATACAATATTTGTTGTTCCACCCTCCTAAAATCATTCTTTTGCCAGATTGTCTGATGCTCTTTTTACAAACATTAATAAAAACAATAATGAGATGACATTTTTAGTGTCCAGGATGCACTTTCACTGTAGGATCTAATCTGCAGGTGTCACATGTATCTACATCCAACGCAAATGCAGTTTAGCAGCACAGAATTGACTGTATTCCAAATACTAAGAACTTTTCCAAAACAAGAGCCCCATTCATTTGTAGTTTGAGAGATGACGGAATGAGTCCAGATAATGAAGGCCCCGAAGGCTTTTGTTAAGTTCACTCTGACTTGAGGGGAACAGAACTGGAAGACATCACACGTTGAATAAGCACTTTTGTCATACTAGTTAAGGAGACGCTCTGTAATAAAGCATATGAAAAAGCTGACTCATCTTCTTTTAAACAGCCTCCATTATTATGTTATATGGTAGTGTTTGCTCTAGCCTAAATAATCTCTAAATTAAATGTGAGTAAATTAAAATGTCATATCATCCTTTTTATCCTATTTATTACTGATACTTACAATTCATAATATTCTTCAGAACTCATTACCTTTTTTTTTTTTACAATGGAAATACCTTTGCTTTTTTCCTGTAAGGCTAAAGGCATATGAAATGTAGTTTAAGTATATTATGTTCCCTGACCTAGACCGTCCTTACAGAGCACCTTGTGAATAATAGAGGAGTACTAGTGCATATGACATAAAAGCTGATAGATATGAAACTCCAAATCTGGTTTTATTCAAAATATTACATATTCAGTATTAGCCAATAAAATCTTTGATGCTGTAAATGAATAGTCTGAGGAAGAATACAAAAAATCTAGCTGTTTACCTTTGAAAGATGTGGGGATTTATACTAACTGACTGACTAAATCTGAGTTTAAAGCAGTGTTTTTAAAGTCCCAGTATATTTATGGAGGGTAGGCTACTGCTGTTTTCAGGGAGGGAACAACCGGGAACATTGTCCTGGATTCTGTGACTAAGGTCCTGTATGATAAAGCCTACTCAATTGGCACAGGGGACAGAGTTACACCCATAAAAGTTTGTCCCAGGCCCCTTGATTTTAAGCAATGTGCAATGTGTATTCACAAGCTCCCAGAATTTTCTCTTTGTGCATTATTGTGCAATTTTCCAAATGCCTGATTACTCAAGCATATTTCAGTTATGGTAAATAAATAAATAAATAAAATAAATAGCAGGCCTATGTAACTGTGAGAGTCTCAGCTGAAGTAAAATGGGAGACCAAGAATGATTTCTGTTATAAAAAAAATTATACCCTGCCTGCATCCCAATTTCCATAATATTAACCCTAAATAGTATTAGTATTACTAATCTCGAATACTAGTATGCATATTGAAACGCAGGGATAGTGGATTATTTTTCTCCCAATTACTAAAATAAAACTCTTCAAGGTTCTTCTAATTAGTGCTTAGATTATGACAGTGCAGGATATAGAGCTTCAAATGAGTTAATTTAAACAGCAGTAAGATTTTCATGTTTGTTTGTTTTTTCAGTGTCTATCACATTTTTAGACATCTTTGGTCGAGTGAAATAACGTCCAAATAATTCATTCAAAATAAGCTATAAATTATCCTCACAGACAGTGCAGTAATGTAATCAGTTGTCATAAACAAAAGTTTACTGGCTCTAAGCCTTTCTTTTCTTTATTCAGAATTGACCTTGACAAATATTTGGAAACTATACAAAGTTCTACTAATCCAAAAGCAATGAAAACTGTATCTTTATATTCTTCCTTTGTGTCTTTTTAAGATGTAATTTTATTATGCTGTTGTTGTTTTGTGTTACACTGGCAATATGTCTGTCTCTGTGTATATTCTTGTATTATTATTTTTTGCTTTTGCTTTGTCTCTATGTTTACAATTGTAATTGTTATTTTACTTTATATTAATAAAAAAACTGTAATCAGTTGTCAGGCTGCGTTGCGTCATGAAAGTAGGCGGGCTTAACGTGTTTAACAGACAGGTACTTTTCCACCACATGTCAACGCTCATTGGCTCGGACAAACACAGCCGTCACAATAAAATGCAGTACTAAAATTTGATTGGCCTGCGCTCCACTCTTAGACCCGCCTCCCTAGCACTCTGATTGGACGCCATCACTGTGGCAGTGGCAGTCAATTGTTTTTTCGCCCAGTGACACTGCAGCTCTATGTCCGGACATGTAGATCTCATAGCGGCTTGGCCTTTGTTAGCGAGTCGCTGAAAAGAACCAAGAAAGCCAGAGGAGCCGCGTTCATGCACATACAGGGAGGAAAATGATCATCTGCACGAAAAACATGGACTATCGCCTTGGAACCCAGTGCCAGTTCGTTCAAAATCAGGTAACATAAATGCCTGAAGTGAAGATGATAACTGTAAACCGTAGCTGTACGTTATCTAGACACTTGCTGGGAAGTTTCAAAGTTGACAGTTCATCTACTTAGCAAAACCATCGTCTCTTTAATGTCGTTCATTCATTCGGGTTTAAAACGCTCCTCAAACATATACATGTGTCATTATTTTTGAATACATATTCAAAAGTCCCTCTTTGAAAGAAAAGACTAACGTTAGTCGCCATAAGTAATATCCGTTATTTTCTAGCATACACGAATGTCGTTCACATATATTTGTAGAATCAGTCCGCTTTTGTATTGTTACTCTGATCGCCACTTTTCAACCAATGACTATATTTGCTTCGAGTTTTAAACGCCAATTCATTGTGTTAAGTATTTATTGTTCCTGAAATTAACTTAATTTTTGACAAGACAAAAGGGTTTTCACCATGTAAAGCTGCAGTCTTGCAGTTTAATTTCCTTGGATTTAACGTTTGTGCTGCAATTCATCTGTAATCTAAGGCAGCTTTGAACTCGCATAACAATAGTGATCCTATGACATATTTTGTCTTTTTGTTTTGTATTTTATGGAATGAAAAGCTGTGCAAATCCATTGCATTCATGACAAAGAGTAATAAGCTTCTTTGTCGTGCATATGCTTAGTTCATACTTCAGTTTGGTTTAGATAGTCATTGTTTCGTTGCAACTGTGATGTTGACTACTCATAAAGGTATGTATTTGTTGAATATTCCAAGTATTAACAGCAAAACATTTAATCTCCACGAGGAATTAAGACTGCAGTCTGGAACAATCTTTGAAAGCCTTTGGTGCAGTTTAAGCCATGGTTATGTTTTTACCTATAATCTAAACCTAACGTTACATGAAAATAAGCTTTTCTATTGATGTTGGCATGTTGAAGTTTTGTAGGTTTGACACTCTCCGTCACGTCTGAGCTCTTTGTTGAGTTGTTTGTAAGAAGAATCTCCTGTTTTATACACGAAGACAACTGGTTGAGTATTTTTGGGTCGTATCGACATAGGAGCATTCTTTTATCGAACATTCAACTCATAATTTTTCCCCTTAATTTTGTATTTATTTTCATGTTTAAGTATATTCTTTAACCAAATGATTGCGTATAAGCTTTTGTGAAAATGAAAATCTGTCATTTGTGTATGCGGCGCTGTCGTAGTGTAATTTTTCGCAGTTCACGTCGGGCAAACACAAAGCCCTTTGTAGTTACAACCGTAAACCGTGACACGACAATCTGCACGGGAATATTTATTTATTGACATTTCTTCACGCTTGACTTTTTGGTCTTGTTGTGTGAGTGTTTTCTCTTTCTCCCGTTTGTGTGATGTGATGCTGATGTACTGCCAATCAAAGTTGTTTTTCTCCCCATTCGCCTGCAGTACCTCCTGCAACCTGAGGTGATGGCGCTGCTGCGCATATAGGAGAACAATAGAGGAATGTGCCATTTAAACATTTCTCAGAAATATGCTCTCATTTGCCAGCCCATAAGAAAATACCCTAGGCTTGTACTTGGATTGTTAACATTCTAAACTCGTTTTCTTTTCCCCCCTCAATTAAGCACTGGTCCATTTGTAAAAGATACTTTTCAAAAAAATGTCTGTAGGTGGTAAGTATTATAATGGCACAATACGTGTTTCAAAGCTCCCTGATGTGTTTCACATAGAGAGCATTTTTAATATCCTGACTCCTGACTATGCTGCTTTTGTAACCTTGTCAGAACAGTACGGTAAAGTTTAAACATGTATTGCAATCCATTATGATTATGCAGCTTATATATAGATATACGTTCGAGGCATAGCTGACCATGATTCACTTCTGAATATGAAGACCACAAAAGCACAAAGATGGCAAAATAACAGACAACTGATTTCACCAGCAAACCAAATCTTGGCCTTCCCAAGCGGAAATGTGATTCATCAATAATCTTCCTTCACTTCACTATCTGTCATATGCTAGCTGCTGAATGTATGTCACACTGTCTGCTTATGTTAATGTCAGTCTTACTGGTCGTCTGAGTGCATCCATATGTGGCTTGCCGTGTTTGTCTATTTGTTTGTGTGTGTGTGTGTGTGTTTGCTGCAGGCCTTGTTTCAGTCCAATCCCCAGTGAGGTGCAGCTGCCTGTTTTGTTCTTCCTGGCTTGCAGGTTGGCAAGCCAAAATAGTGTTTCCTTTGTAGAGAGGGAGAGAGATGGGGTTTGTGCAACAGCAGTTGGGGCATTTGCGCATGTCAAGGGCTGAGCCCTCCAGGCCTTCTGAGAATGCAGATTGAATATCTTGCTCTTATTCTGGACTCAGGCCCTGAACCGAAGCCCCCCATCAGTTTAGAGCCTCATGTTTAGACTGTCCTCAAATGACAAAAGATGAGCAGTAGGCTTATGTTTGTCTGTTTTATTTAAGTGGTGATATGTCGCATAATTAAAGGGACCGCTCACCCATAAATAAAAATTCTGGTGTCACTTACTTAAGTAGTTTCAAACCTGTATGACTTAATTTCTTCTGCAGAACACAAAAGATGATATTTTAAAGAATGTAGGTTACCAGACAGTTTTGGTGATCATTGACTTTCTTTGCATGAAGAACAGTTTTTGAACGACATGAGAGTGAGCAACTGATCACAGAATTAAATTTTTGGGTGAACTATCCCTTTAAGGCTACTTTAGATTATTATATTTTTTTTTTGTATTTGACCAGCAAGAATAAACACATTAACTCATTCAAATCTAAACGCAAGAGTTCATGCAAATATATTCAAATCTAAATGCTGTTTTGTTTGTTCATGGAGTGATCTTGCACTTTTTTTGATCTCTAATATATCACACAGACGCTGCTTTGTGTAGCACTTTAACTTGTTTTAATCAAACAAATAACTGAATTATTATGTAAAGGACGTGTATGCTGTCATTGTTCATGGAAACAGGAATTATGATTGCCGAAAGTGGCACCTTTACCCAATAAACAAGATTTCGGCTGAATTTGAGGGACTCGCCAAGAGGATATGAGACTGACTTCCTGTTTCGTGTTGACTGTTGGTAAAGACATGTCGGTGCATGTTGCTGGTGCTGATGAGGCATACTCTATTGACAAAAAAATCGCCCCAAGTTTCAAAATAACCTTACGCTGTTGACCATGAACTGTGCTGCTGTTATGTATGAACTTTATACCCTAATTGACAAGTTTAACCAACATCTTTTGTTGATCGCAGCTTGATATATATACACAAAAACCTCGGTTGACAGCATCTGCTGCAGCGTTTCATTGAGCCGTGGGTGTGTGAGCGTCTCTCAGCTTCTCATATGACTTGCATTAGTCTCTAATTTCCCTCTGAATTTTCATTAGTAGTTAATTGCAAGTTGTTTTGTCTCGTTCCATGGATACAGACTCCCCCTTGCGATTTTCTGCGGCTGCCGATACGTGCTATGAAATGAACACTCTGTATTGAACCACGATAGCATGTTGAATATATCTGTATTTGCAGTTGCCTGTTTTTCTGGGTCACTGCTGAGGAGTTTTGGGCATTGCGACCAGGCTCGGAGACATGTGATCTGTTTACCAGGGAAAGTGCACTTGTACTTGCGTCCCAATGGAGAATAGTGTTTGAACTGTTGTTTGAGGCTGACCTCAACATCTTAGTCTTGTTTAAATTACTTGTCCCTATGTAGCTTGTGCTTTATTGCCAATATGGCTCTTGGTTGACCGTATTTTCACTTCTGTATTCTTAGAGCTTTTCCCAGCGCAAAATGCTTATGGTATCTAAACAATAGGTACATCCCACTTCACGTACTCGTGCACTATTCTATGCCATTTTATAGTATAAATACTTGCTAGTAAATTTTACAAACAATTTTAAAGTAGAAAGACTGAAATAGTATTTTCTTGTAAAATGTATCCTGGTAATCTTTGTTTTAATTGAAAAAGCATTTTTTACAGTAGTATGTTAACACTGGAAATTCCAGAAAGAAAAAGTTTCACTTCATATACCAAGATGATGCACTTAATTAACCACAAAAATGAAGAGTGGAATGTTGAACATTTCATGCACTCAACTGTTGCAGCCTTTCTTTATGTAATACAGGGGAAATGGTCTATTAGATAGATTCCAGTGTTGGATGACAAAATAACTTTATAAAGTGCATATATTAGTAGAGTGCGTAGTATGGTGTGTCATTTGGGACACAACAAATGTATGGAAGTTATGCAGAAATAGATCTGGATAGGCACTTGATCTGGAGTATAAATGCCAGACTTTCTAGGTAACTGTAATGTAAGTTCATGATGCTTTGTATGGTATGTTTTGCTTGCACATGTTTTGCAAGCCTCGACTGAATTGAATGACAAAGACACCTGTATCTCGGGCAGAAACATATCGCAGCTTTCAGTGCCACCTTGACACAGATCTTTTTCCTTGATAGAAGAGAGTGTCTTTGTTCCTGTTTCATCAAGTTGCCTCTTAAAATTAGTCATCAACCAGATGTAGTGTCATTTTTTTAAAAATCACTTTATATTAAATGGTAAGTTTCAGGCATTCAAATACCTCAGTAAACAGGTTAGGCTGACACATTTTCCAATAGAGGGCAAACCACTGTCTGCACCTCAGTGCAAAACTACTTTTCATCGGAATTGCATGTTAAATTGGGTTAAGAAGCAAATATTGACCGACGGTTTAGTGTTTTTAAGTTCATTCCCTTTCATGAACATTTACTTGAGGAACCTGTCTGGAGAGATATTGATGATGTCCCGCAAGTAAAACCCTTTTTTCTTTATTTCATAGTGTCCCTTGTGCAGGAACGGCGTTTCTTTCTTATCTATGCATGTGCTATCTCAGCTGTCCTCTAGGACTATTTATGACCCTCTCTTTTCTGTCAGACACTGTATGAAGAGCCAGGACCAGACAAGCAGTCCGTAGGCCTGGGTGTAATTTATTACCCACATATTTTCCCCAACAAGATTCAGCACTGTAGAACGTGAACAGATTTTCAGTTGGCTAATTGCTATCAGTTCTTTAATGTGATTTTAAGTGGTATTTGGAGACCCAAAATGTATAGTGACTCAAAGGGATTGTAGGCGCAGTACGTGCCGTGCTGTCAGAGTGAATCTTCAGTACTGTCAAGAAGAGTTATGATGGCCCAGAGCTGTTTTGGCCACGGCTCTCAGTTGTCCCCCGTAACTATGTAACAAGATTTCAGTCAATACGTGACCACGTTCATGTTTGCGTTCAGTCAGAGCTCATCCTCTTCTCTCCCCCCACCCCAGAAAGTGTAACTGACCCGTTCATCGCCATGACTAACTCCAGCCAGACCCACAGAGCAGCGGTTTACTCGAAGGAAGAATGGAGGCCACCCTCTCACAGTCGAACTCTACAACTGATCACATACTAGAAATGAGAGCCAAGACTAGGGGTAGACGATAAATCTATATTCATTGGGAAACAATCCACAATATCGATAATAATCTTGAGCAAATTAATATTTAGCCTACAACCCTCTACATTGCGAGTAAATCACTCGCATATGCGACTAAATCTTCACTCTGGGTGACTAAATAATCCAGCAGCTCATTAATCCTTAGTGCGTTTTATATTGTTCTTATTAGTAGAATTAGTATCATTATTATCTTATCAGTATTTTTGTTAATTTTTTATTTTTTTACAGAAACACTGAATGACCAAAAAAAGCACCACCATCAGTCCGAAGTTCAGTTAAAATGACTAATATGCATTCATACATGGTTATCAAGTTTTAATTCTAATTACTAAAGTTCTATCATTAAATAATATTGATTATCATATTATAATGCTTGACTGACTGATGTTAAAGGGTTAGTTCAGCCTATATATATATTTATCAGTCTGGCGAGTAAACAAAAAAATGTACTAGCCAATGGCGATTCAATTGCCAAGGTGTTCGTAGAGGGCTGGCCTACTAGACGATCTAGATGATCAGGTCAATGTCACTTAAAGTCTGCATGTTCATTTTGAATGAGCGGCACAGTTTTGTCATGATGTTTTCAGCGTCTTGTCGTCTCATTATATGAGGACAGTTCACATGAACTTCATCTGCAGAGCTGCATGAGAGTCACTTCACCAGCATTTCGCCATTTCACTTGAGAAAAGCTTTCAAATGCAAACTGAAAGCTGAAACTGAAAAAATAAAACTCTAAAATTAAAAAGTAGCGTAGACGTAGACATTTGCTTGTAAACCAACAAATTATGTTTACATTCATTCTCAAGGCCTTAAACATGTGGAAAGCATTTTCTTCCCCATTAATAGAATGAGATAAATATTGTGATAAATATTGATATCGAATGATGTGGGAAAAAATACTGTGGTAATATTTTGCCCATATTGCCCTAGAGCTATTGTAGTTCCATTGCTGTTAGTTAATCAAAAATCTACCACTATTGTCAAAATGTGTCGCTGACCTTTTAAAATGGCCTTCAAATTGCATTGAACTTCAATAATGTGACGCATTTCTGTGTGAAATTGTGAAATTGTATTGTTTTTCCCCCAAGCCACTTAGCCTATGTTACATCAACAGAAAAATGAAGTAATTTCAAAGTAGAGATTGTAACCACAGTTTGGTGCACATTTATAAAACATTTCTTTAGAGTCTTATGCACTGATAAATGGCAGAAAATGATTACACATTTTTAAAATGTATTCTCTAGTCCAATAAAACCCATTTTCACCAGCTCTGCTTCTGTTTGCTTCAGTTGCTCTCTCACTACTCTCCAATCTCCTGTTTCTTCCTCTGCTCTCTCTCTCTGTGAGGCGCTTGAACAGGAGGGGAGTGGGCAGGATTTCCATAATCCCACAGTCAGACACAAAGCAGGCACAAGGCCTCGGTTGGCCTTCACAGTCAGCATTTAAAAACATGAAGACATGAATCAGCAGATCTCCTCAACACCAGTCAAATACATTGGGACAATGTATTTGCCATTTTCACATCGATTTCCTTTCCACAAATTGTCTAAAATAGTCTCCTATGCTAAATACGGACGATTGAACCACAACTCCCAAGTTGTGCCTGTGATTATACATGGGTATGGTGTCCACTGCCATTTTTATAATCTGGATGTATTTTAAGCGTCTTGAGGTGTGAAAGTAGGAGATTGAGGTCGACAGACGTCTGTCTGGTCTGAAACAGCAGTGGGTCGCTGTTAGTGTGAAATGTCTATTACTGTCCCTCGATACCCGCAGGATCCGTGGCAGATGCCGTGTTTGCTTGCTAGTATTCTTTTACTTCTTTATATTTTTGTTGGTAACTGCTGCAAACACTAGTGAAAGTTATTTGAAGGTGGTTCCTTTAAGATTAACCTAAAAAAACACACTGAATAGGTGCTTTTCATTCGCAAAGTGCTTTTTTATCTGCCTTTTGTTTGTCAATTTCTCATTTCTGTGTGTTATTCCTTTTGGCAGGTGATGGTGAACTCTGAGAAAGACCGTGCTTCTCTCTTGTGTATGAAGGCTCTGGCCAACAGGGGGCGTTTTGGATTGGGATGAGTGTTTAGAGAGTTATTTTTACACAAGGGCCTTTTCTTATGTATTCCTCATGGACCCTTTTTCGTAACCTGCTTTTCTCTTTCTCAAATGCTCCATATCAGATGTGGAGGAGGAGGACGAGGCAATGTTCTCCGCAGACCCCTCCCGCTTCGTCACAGACCCAGAATTTGGCTACCAGGAATTTGCCAGACGGGAGGAGGACCATTTCCAAGTATTCCGGGTGCAGGTGGGGGCAGAGACTTTGCATTGGGTGTCACCTACCAAAAGTAGTAGCATAAAAGGGTACTAAGGGTCAGAATTACAGCTCATGCCCTTCCTTCTCAAGACTGTCAGCACTTAGTGTTACTCTCCAAACCTTAAAAGGAAGCGCTGTGCCGCTGACAAATCCTCTCAAATGCCAGTTTCATTCAAGTAGGCTTTCTACATTTGATTTGAATGGGAGTCATATGCAACTCCTATAGTTAAAAGCAGTTTGTTTTATCCCAACTTATATTGAGAAGTTTAGGGTGTGAAATGGATACTTATATTCAGGAAGGATGCATTATATTGATCAAAAGTAAGATTACAGACTTTTATATCGTTATAAATTTAAATATAAATATTTTTATTTTATTTATTATGGGTAATGAAAGGTTAATATTTTGGTATTGGGAGTCCCCAACAACAGGTTGACATGCATGCAAGTTCAAAAAACACTTTCATGGTCTTATAATATGCATTTATTTTTACCTTACTTGCTCAACGACTCCCAAATGATTCGCTCAACGACTCATTTTTCCAAACCCTTCCTTTGCGTGACGCTAATCGGCGGTGATTGATCCGATTGGTCTCATTTTCATTTCATCATGCCTGTAATGCCTGTTAAAGCAGCGTTTGTGAGCGCAGTACTGCTTTGTGTACAGCATTACTGGGGAAACAGCTATTTTACCGCTCCAAAGAATGATTTTGCATTTTCATTCAGACCAACGCGAAAAGACCAACAAGCGGGCGGGCAATATGCTAATGTTTCATGTTGACGTCAACATGAAACGGCTTGGGATTCGTTTTAAAAACGACTCGTTTCAATGATTCAGAGTCGACTCTTTCTTTTGAGAGACAATAACTTTATACACGGTGCACTTTGCAGGATGTTTTCACTGTGTTACACACTGCATGAAAGGTAATTTTCAAAAATCTATAATAGGGGCACTTTAATAAATGCTGTTCTTTTGAATTTTCAATTAATTAAAGAATTAAAAACTTGATAATATAAATCTTTTTTTTGTCTTGAGCAGCAAATCAGCATATTAGAATAATTTCTGATGGATCATGTGACACTGAAGACATCTTGCTGAAAATTCAGCATTGACATCGCAGGAATAAATTACATTTTAAAATACATTCAAGTAGAAAATAGTTATTTTATATTATGATATAATTTCACAATATTACTGTTTTTACTGTATTTTTATCAAATAAATGCAGCCTTGGTGAGCATAAAAGACTTCTTTCAGAAACATTGACATCTTGCTGGTCCCAAACTTTTGAATGGTACTTCTTTCACTTCTTTCAGAAACATTGACATCTTGCTGGTCCCAAACTTTTGAATGGTAGTTTATAAGCCATTGTAGAAATTGCAGAAATAATGCACTTTAACAGTCTTTAAAATACCGCAGTATATTTATTCGTCTTTCTGTGCAGGACTATTCATGGGAAGATCACGGCTTCTCATTGGTGAACAGGCTCTACTCTGATATAGGGCACTTGTTAGACGAGCGATTCCGCACTGTGGCCTCCCTCCCTTTCCCTCACAGCCCCGATCTCAAACGAGCCATCTGGAACTACATTCATTGTATCTACGGCATCAGGTACCCTGGTTCCCTGGTTTTTCACACTTTTGCATTTTGGCACAAGTTTGCATTTTGAATGCAAAAAAGAACCATGAAATTAAATCTAATGCCAAGCTTTCAACTCCACACTCACACATTGTGACTTAACAACTAGTTTCGAAAATGCTGAAAAAGGCAAAAAACAAAGCACTTACATTGACACTTTTGCCCTCAGGTATGATGACTACGATTATGGGGAAGTCAACCGGTTACTGGAGCGTGGATTGAAACTTTATATTAAAGCTGTGGCCTGCTATCCCGACTCCAGCAAGACCCCTCTATGCCCACTGTCCTGGGCCCCTGTCAAAGCTTCAGAGAAGGTGATTTCCTATCAAAACTTGTGCTGCGTACGCTTCAGTAGCTCCTACTTAACCCCACAAAGCCTAATATATCATATTTGATGTGTAAATTCTCTAAATTATCATCATGATCAACTTTGATGGAAAACATTTTGCACTCAATTTACTTCATGCATTCTGTCGTTTGACTGATAGTATGTATTTTTTAGCAAGTAAAAGGCATTTTAGTAAAACTGAGATGTTTTTTCCTCCTAGAGTATGAGCTCCTGATATATCAAATATGATACTCAACAATAAACACATGCTTTTTTTAAAAGCATTTTTTAAACCATTTCATTTGATAATTGTACAACTTTTGTTATTTTGTTCTTGCCATGAAAATGCTTCTGACATGGCGTTAAACAAAATAATAAAATATACCATCTGCTTGAAATGGCTATACAGTACTTCATAAGTGTTTTAAAACAAATCTTTCTGTCTTTTAGGTTCATGTAAATTTGTTAGTGATGGAGGCACGTCTGCAGGCCGAGCTGCTGTATGCGCTCCGAGCCATCACTCAATACATGATCGCATAGGACACGAGCGTTCAGCGCCACAGAGGGACATGGTACAGCGAAAGTCAAGGCAAAGAAATAAGCAGAGATCTGTCTCTCCGTCTCTGTATTTGTTGTCTCTGAGTTTACCAGTGTGATGTAAGGTACTGCTGTGAAACGTTTCTTTGCCAAAGGTGAAACTTTAGAAAAAAAACGGTGCAAAGCAATCGCTCTCACCCCTACTGTCATTTTGCATGTTTCTCCTACTTCCTTTTCTTTCTGTATTTGTCCTTTTGTGCGCATACTCTTCTTTTTCTACCTTTTTTTTTTTTAAGTATCTTTATCTCAGATGGTTAATGTGCAATTATTTTTATTCAGTTGTGGTTGTTTGTTGTTATTAATATTTTCCCATTTGTTTGTTTTGTTTGTTTTTTGCTGTTGCTATTCAACTGAGTGAGAGAAGAAGTGTACAACTGTCCATTTCCTATGTATCCAACTCTGGAAAGGTCATAGCCAATTTGAGTCACTGTTTACAGAAAATGAGTGATTGGACAAAGGCTGTTGCTTAACATGGCTTCCTGATATTTCATTTGAATGTGGAATAGTGAGACCAGAGCAAAATTTAACAAAGGGTAAGAGAAGGTTCAACGGCTGTAACTTTCTTTTTAAATGAGCACTTTTAAGACCGTATCCATCTATAGAATATCTCAATAAGCTTTCGGCTGTGGCTTCGTTCTGCACACAGCAGGTCATCGAAGTACTGTTTTCACTCCTTTCGATCGATTATTAGCATTGATGTTTTCCAAAATCTTCCACACGCTCTTCTCTCTGCATGGGTGCTATAAGTGATTAAAATGGGTACATTTATAGGATCCATATTTATCATCCGATTCATCTCAGTAGGCATCTAAATGGCTTTACAATGTGAAGATCTAAATTTGACGGGATCAACGCAGTGAAAAGGAATCGCTTTTTCTAAACTACTTTTCTTTGTGGTGGTGTTCCCAGCGTTTCTCAGTTACTTTGGGCGGACAGTCAGTTTTAGCCGCTCTACACAAACTGGCCAAATCGACACAGTATGTATTTGAATTACATCATCTGCTAACTTGGAAAACAGTTTAAATATCATTTAAAAGTAGGTCTTTAATTTTGAAGTAACTGGCCCACTGAAGTGATTCTGAAAGGACCAGCATTTAGCGTTTAGGTTAATGTTGTGCTGGCGTCTCCAGTGTAGACATTTGGATCAACAACAATTTAGTATTTGTTTTAAAATATTTTACCATGTAAAAATTAAAAAGTCATGATGTGAGTGAGAAGGAGCTCAAATGAGAATAAGCTTAAAATGTGATTTTAATGTAGACCCGCTGGTATAGATCAAATGAAGGACTTCTGACAGAACTATATAAGATGCGTAAAGGTTCTAAAGGTCAGCCTGTCGCTATCCTTCCCATAACCGACCTGCACAAAATTGACATTTTTTTGGTTTTGCACTGAACCTTTTGCACAAAACCCTACAAGTGTGGTTGCAGCTGTCATTGTTACAAACTGCTTGGAGAGGTGACGACGGCCCCTCTGATGCCATGAATATATTCAATGTCCAGTTTTGTTGACTTGGCCAAATACCTGTACTGTGTTAAACTCTCATCGGTCTGGTTAATTATAGTTGGCAGAATGACTTGGGCAACACCTATGGTTGGTTTTGTGTGTTTATTTTTAAACATTGCATTACTTTGTTCCTGTTTAAACTTGTCTTGTCATTTTGAGGGAGGGTTATGTTGTTGTTGTTGTCAGTTTTGCTCTTGTCTGAACTGTTTAGATTAAGAAACCAAGGTATGTAAATCAGCAGAAATGTGTACAGGAGCCGCAGTCTGTGCTGGACGCACAGTGCCTTTTGACTACTGATGAGTCACGGCTCATCAGTATGGCGGAACTGGACTCGGAGCTAAGCCTCATGCTACTGCATTAATTCAAGCTGAGAATGGAGGATGTTCATCATCCGGAGATGTTTGTCAGGAGCAGAATAGGACTGCAGCACGGCCGTTCTACCTTAAGCAGGACTGTCTTAAATGCTTGTTCTTCAATGACGGTTTGCCACGTCCCTGAAACGTGGAGACTTCCAGACTGTCTCCAACACCTCAGCTGGAAGACGTTAAGGACTGTGCCTCGGCGGAGGAGACTGAACGAGCATGGCTATTGCCAAAATGTTTATTTACCACGTAAATGTAGGAACTATAAAAATTTAAACTGACCAAAAGGAAAAAAGAAAAAAAAACAGGCAAAAAAAGTTTTGAAATGTGAAAGCTTATTTTTTCTATAAAGATATGCAATATCATTGGTGTGTCTTGCTTTTATTTAGTCATTAAGTGTGAAAGTAAATGTTTTTATAGTCTATATTTAGTAAATTAACCTTATGGTTGCAAATAGTTCACTCATTTTAAGTGGTTTATATGTTCAGAGTGTCTAGAAGGAGCACTTGGCATGTCAATCATTTGGGAATCCATTTTTAATAATGGCTTCTGAAACTACTAGTGCAATCTTGCCATCTAGTGGTACATCTCCATTCGCATTTCTTTGAAAAAATCACGCCAGCAATTCAGACATTTCATTAAAAGCTTTCAGGTTCACTACATTTTGAAGTATGTTTAAAAACAGAAATGTGAAGCTTATAAAAGCAATTCCTTGAACTAAAAGTCTATGTTTTCTTCAAATGTGCCCCCTGGTGGTCTGTTGTCCTGCATAGTTTAGATCTAACCTCTCTCAAACTCATCTGTCTTCAGGATTACTAGAAAATTACAGACAGATGAGTTAGATCAAGTTTTGACCTAATTCTACGGGACAACAGACCTCCATTGACAATTGGTGGAGTTGCGTTGACCTGTGGACAACGTTGTAAGTTTGGATATAATTTCACACAGAAAAGGTTAGAACTTTTTTCCCCTCTGAAGTCATGTTAACGTGTATTATTTACGTCTAGTAGCTACAACAACAGTGAGTGTTTTAACGCCTAAAGGATTGACCCTATTCATCCACACTGTAAAGGCCCGTTCATACCAAGAACGGTAACGTTCTGTTTGTTAGATGTAGTATAACGCTTTATATGTTAAGAGTGATTCTGAGATATCGTTCCTCTGCGTCGTTGTCGTTATATCTGTGCTGTGGCTTCCCTATTCGTATGAAATTCGAACAATAGTTAAAAGTAGCCTACAGTTTTCGTTATTGCTGCGAACCGGACTCACTGGAACCCAGATTTAAGCTAACGAGGGACGGACAAGTAAATCAGAAAACTAATTTCTATGTTTCACATGCTGTCGATAATTTTCCCTGAACCTGGAACACTTCATTTAGATTTAACTTAAATTGACATTTAGTATGAATGGCTACTCTTGAGTAGCCTATGTAAACTTTTATATACAATATGTTATATACAATGGTGTGAATCATGTTTACTAGTGCTTAATCTGCTGCTCTAAATTTAATGAATGCCCTGCACCTCTGCTTATGTCAAGTGAATGGACCAATGACAAAATCAACTTAACAAAACAGTCTGCGTTAAACAGATCAGGTTTATTTCTATTATGCTGAAAGCAACATTGTAATAATTTGAAGCCCAGTTTCGGAACAAAGCAATCGATCTACAGGTGTGAAAGCACCCTTAGATCAAGTTTTGACCTAATTCTACGGGACAACAGACCTCCATTGACAATTGGTGGAGTTGCGTTGACCTGTGGACAACGTTGTAAGTTTGGATATAATTTCACACAGAAAAGGTTAGAACTTTTTTCCCCTCTGAAGTCATGTTAACGTGTATTATTTACGTCTAGTAGCTACAACAACAGTGAGTGTTTTAACGCCTAAAGGATTGACCCTATTCATCCACACTGTAAAGGCCCGTTCATACCAAGAACGGTAACGTTCTGTTTGTTAGATGTAGTATAACGCTTTATATGTTAAGAGTGATTCTGAGATATCGTTCCTCTGCGTCGTTATCGTTATATCTGTGCTGTGGCTTCCCTATTCGTATGAAATTCGAACAATAGTTAAAAGTAGCCTACAGTTTTCGTTATTGCTGCGACCGGACTCACTGGAACCCAGATTTAAGCTAGAAAACGAGGGACAAGTAAATCAGAAAACTAATTTCTATGTTTCACATGCTGTCGATAATTTTCCCTAAACCTGGAACACTTCATTTAGATTTAACTTAAATTGACATTTAGTATGAATGGCTACTCTTGAGTAGCCTATGTAAACTTTTATATACAACATGTTATATACAATGGTGTGAATCATGTTTACTAGTGCTTAATCTGCTGCTCTAAATTTAATGAATGCCCTGCACCTCTGCTTATGTCAAGTGAATGGACCAATGACAAAATCAACTTAACAAAACAGTCTGCGTTAAACAGATCAGGTTTATTTCTATTATGCTGAACTGCTTTCAATGACCTCTGACTAACATAATATGGGGGAACAAAATTAATTGATCAACAAAAAAAAAGCAATCAAGTACATATACAGTATATTGGCTATGCACAACTCGTCAGTTTTACATCCCGTCATATAACCCAAAACAAAAGAGAGAGAAAAACCCAACCCAGACCATAAACTAATGTTCTGTGTTATCAACTGGGATGCTTAGCAAACTCTTCTGGAAAATTAAAGGAACTAAAGAATGACTACGAAAGGAAGAAGGCTAATAATATCAAACAAGAAAAGTGAGAGTGATTTGGAAAGAGGGAAGGGGTGGAATTCCTGCATTTCATGCAGAAGCCCTGTGATGTCTGTCTGATGGGACGAAAACGATATTCAATATCTGTACTTTCAGAAATTAAACAAAGCCAGGGTGTTAACCATGAAAATTCACTTTCAAATCAACACTAAAATGACACAGGAAAATGTCAACGGTGACTGTCAGCCCTGAAGCTTTCTGAAAGATGTACCATGCAGGTATAACAATCACTCTTAGACATCAAGGAGCTGATTTACATGTACAAACATAAAAAACACGAGAAAAGATGCCCCAAAAGACAAGCACATCGATGTAAACGGTTGATTGAAAATCATCAATCGCTGTATTAAACATTACACCATTTGTGAGGTGCACAATATGTGGTGAGATGGACAAGCCCCTCCCTCCCCATTCACAGCTTCTTTTATAATACACAAAAACTGAGAGTTTGGGAATTAAAACATATAGGTAAATTTCTCATACTATGTTCTACATTAAGAAATTGTACTCCATATGCGTTGCATAAAATTATTAAAGGCCCTGATTTCTACATATGCACCAATCAAATATGGCCCTC